AGTCGTGGTATTGAGGGTGGAAGAGAGTGCTGGTTATCCACTCGCCCCACCTATAATCCCTGCCAGACCCGAGACTCAAACCCACGACCTTCGGGTTACAAGTCTGGAATGTTTTGATTGTCTTTGTTTAATGCATTTTGTTAAATTTTGAAATCGCTGTCATTTGAAATTGACCGATGACATCCTAACATGCAGACCATGTAAATGTAATGTTGTTTTTGTTTAATGTTTGTTTCAGTCAAACAGTAAGTGGGAGTGATTCCCTTTGGAAGTCAGTTGCCCCTTTTGACATGAGTATGTTCCTGTAACATCTTGTCAGCCCTAACAATAATTAAAAAGCCAAGATGGACCTTGCTGGAAAAAACACATTATATCTGAAAAGATACACTTCAGTTGAATCACCTGATCATCCACTTAAGCCATTGGTTTTAATGGTCATAATTGTCAATTATTAATTTATTATTAAACTTTTCAGATTTTAATCCCAGTGCTATTTCTGCAAAAACAATCCTGAATTAAAATTGAATACTCATGTGAAAACCACACATTTTATTTAGTATTTTATTTATGCATAAAGTAAGCAACTCTCGTCTCCTCACAAAAACAATCAAAAGTTACTGAAGTGTCTGAAACAACAACAAAATGTGTCTCTTTTGCTATCGAAGGTTGTTTTTGGAAAACACTCTCAGCTGAAGATAAGGAATTCAGTGAAGTTGTTAAATCAAGCGTCTGCAACATCATGCAAGAAGAAAAAAAGTGACGCTTTAACTACTACTGATGATCTCTTTCTCGGTCCAAGCAAATGCCTAAAATAATTTAAAGGTATGACTTCTATTGCTTCTTTCTTTTTATCCAAGTATGCAAACTGCAATATTGTTCCCAACACTTTAGAGAGATGCTTTGATTAGTAACTACAGACTAATTATGTGTGTGTGGGGATTGTGCATTTTTGGTGGCAGCACCCCAGTTGTGTAATAACTTGCCTTTGTACTGAAGATCTGCCACTTCTCTTTTAAATCTTTGCTTGATCTTTCTTTGTTTTGTGTGAATTTATTGTTGTGTAATAGTGCATATTGTTTTGTTATTTGTTTCATTGCTAGTCTGTTAATTTAATCTGCCTGTGGATCATTTTGATTGGCTCTGTCGTTATTGAATGTGCTATATAACTAAACAAAACTTAACTAAATGTCACGCTATGGTGAGATAAACGCACAAAAAATATGAAGATAAATGCAAATAGTCTTTAATAAATCCACACAAGGGTAAATCCACGACAGAACAGGCAGGAGCACACGTAGGGATGTAGTAGACCGGACAAACAAAGACTGCACAAACTGGGGCTTAAATACATGGGATGACGAGGACAAATAATAAGACATACCCGAACCAAATGACACAATCAAACATGAGGGAAAACTAGGTCACGGAGCACACGAGGGATGAAAACACAACACAAACAGTCCAGGGGTGTGACAGATCGCTTCCCCTCCCGGAAGGCGCAAGCTCGCGCTGCAGAAACAACAAAGGGAGGGACGGAGGGGGACTTAGAAGGAGGAAAAAGGAGGGGATGTGGGATGGTGACAGGGGAAGGCAAAGGGCTGGCAGGAAGGCAGGCAGACAAATACTGGAGGAGGTTCGGGTGGAGGATGGACACCCGGGAAGAGGACGACAAACAGAGTCCAGGGTGGAGACGACGGAGGGAGGAGCCAGGGAGGAAACAGGAGGAGCCAGGGCGGATCAGATGGAGGGAGGAGCCAGGGAGAAGACAGGAGGGAGCAGGAGGAGTCAGGCGGGCCGCAGCCATGAAGGCGACCCACGGTGGAGCCGACGGATGGAGGAGCCATGGCGGAGGAAGGGCTGACGGCTCCAGGGGAGCAGGTGGTGGTGGAGCCTGAGGCGGGGACGGAGAGCCAAGGCAGAGCAGATGGCTCCGGCGACCGAGGCAGGGATCCGGAAGGCCGCAGTGGAGCAGGAGCGACAGAGGACCAAGGTGGAGCCAGAGGGAAGGAGGAGCCTGACAGAGCCAGAGGGACGAGGTGTAGCCGGAGGAGTGGAGTCCCGAGGCGGCGGATGGTCAACAACAGACCAAGGCAGAGCTGGAGGGACAAGGGAGCCCGGCAGAGCTGGTGGACTGATGGGCCACTGTGGAGAGGAGGGAGCTAGGAGCCATGGTGGAGCCTCTGGGTCAAAGGGCTGAGGCGGAGTCCGGGACTCAGAGGCTGGAGGCGGAGACAAGGGATCCTCCAGCCACGATGCCGATGGAGACTGGCAGACCCGTGGCGTTCCCACCTCACAGATGGTGGGCTGAGGGTGAGCTGAGGGGCTGCCAGGAGACAGCGGAGGCGATGGTGAGGACTGATACAAAAGAGGTGGGAGAGGGAGGCTGTGTGGAAGTTCAGAATGCTCAGGAGGATTTGACACTGTGTGCAGTGACAGGGGAACAACCACCGTGGTCATTATAGTACAGGCAGATAGTTCAGGGCAGACAAATATTTCCAGACTGACAAGACAGTTCAAGGCAGGCAGACAGTTCAAATACGACCTCCGTGGTCGTGACGGGACAGACAGATGATGATGGCGGGAGAAGACAAGGCATATCCTCCGAGCGCAACCTCAGCTCTTGTCTGGAGACGCACAACAGTGGTTCTGTGGCTTTATAGGTAATAATTTCATTTACACAAATTTGCAAAATCAGACAATATTTTGTCTAATATATACCACAATAATAACGTTTTATGAAAGTGAAGTGTGGCCAATTATGGTGACCCATACCCGGAATTTGTGCTCTGCATTTAACCCATCCAAGTGCACACACACACAGTAGTAAACACACACACACACACACACACCCAAAACAGTGGGCAGCCAATGCTGCAGCACCCGGGGAGCAGTGTGGGGTTCGGTGCTTAGCTCAAGGGTCAGTCGTGGTATTGAGGGTGGAAGAGAGTGCTGGTTATCCACTCGCCCCACCTATAATCCCTGCCAGACCCGAGACTCAAACCCACGACCTTCGGGTTACAAGTCTGGAATGTTTTGATTGTCTTTGTTTAATGCATTTTGTTAAATTTTGAAATCGCTGTCATTTGAAATTGACCGATGACATCCTAACATGCAGACCATGTAAATGTAATGTTGTTTTTGTTTAATGTTTGTTTCAGTCAAACAGTAAGTGGGAGTGATTCCCTTTGGAAGTCAGTTGCCCCTTTTGACATGAGTATGTACCTGTAACATCTTGTTTGTCAGCCCTAACAATAATTAAAAAGCCAAGATGGACCTTGCTGGAAAAAACACTTTATATCTGAAAAGATACACTTCAGTTGAATCACCTGATCATCCACTTAAGCCATTGGTTTTAATTTAATTGGCTTTAATGGTCATAATTGTCAATTATTAATTTATTATTAAACTTTTCAGATTTTAATTTAATCCCAGTGCTATTTCTGCAAAAACAATCCTGAATTAAAATTGAATACTCATGTGAAAACCACACATTTTATTTAGTATTTTATTTATGCATAAAGCAACTCTCGTCTCCTCACAAAAACAATCAAAAGTTACTGAAGTGTCTGAAACAACAACAAAATGTGTCTCTTTTGCTATCGAAGGTTGTTTTTGGAAAACACTCTCAGCTGAAGATAAGGAATTCAGTGAAGTTGTTAAATCAAGCGTCTGCAACATCATGCAAGAAGAAAAAAAGTGACGCTTTAACTACTACTGATGATCTCTTTCTCGGTCCAAGCAAATGCCTAAAATAATTTAAAGGTATGACTTCTATTGCTTCTTTCTTTTTATCCAAGTATGCAAACTGCAATATTGTTCCCAACACTTTAGAGAGATGCTTTGATTAGTAACTACAGACTAATTATGTGTGTGT